TCTAAGAATTTTAGTATCTAGCCCAGTGGTCCTCAACCTTTTTTTGTTCACGGCACACCATTATACATCACAAGTTTTCGCGGCACACTCATGCACTTGACAACAATAACAATTTTGGCTAAACGCTAAGATATCCAGTTGGGTTAAAACCATACAGTTTACCTACATATGTATCTGCAAAATGAATTGACATTTAACTGTCATAGTTTCATCAGTCGGTATTTTCAAATATCAGACATTTTTCACGGCACACCTAGTCGATCCCGCGGCACAGCAGTGTGCCGCGGCACACTGGTTGAGAACCACTGATCTAGCCATAACATAAATATTAAATACTACCCGCATTTTGAACGATTATCAGTCAATTAGAACTAATAACTACGGAAATGAAATAATAATGTATTGTAACAATTACAATCATTGCAAAGTATAAAATAGATCATAATAAATTAATTTATGTTAGCACAAATCAAATAGAACTAGTTGTTTTCAACTATTCAGCAAGTCAAGTTTAATTTTTCTCATCAGTATTTTTTTTTTGAATTTTAAAATTAATAAAGAATGGCGTTTGAGTAAAAAAGGACGTCTCAGGCTATGTGTATTACGGAAAAAACCTAATTTTGCCAACTTGAAACCCAAAAAACGCGAAGATCATAATAACAATGATGAAGTAATTATAATGTATATTGATTCATATATAGTTAATATATTTTTTGTATTAATTTACAAATTAAAATAATTTTGTAAGTTTATTGATTTTACAATGGTGTATGTTTTTTACTTTTTACTTATAACAACTTTATAACGTTTTTGAGTAGAAATAATGCTTCGATTTTTTACTTCAGCCCTCTTTGAAAGGGAAATTTCATCTAGTTGGTACTTTGGTGAGTCAAAAGTAAAAGATCAAGAAGTTTTGAAAAGCGTTAGGAAAAATCATAAAAAAGTAACGGAAAAACATGAATTTTTACGTATAATCAGTTTTTGACAAAATCAATTTTTTTAATTTGCTGTACCTCAAAAACGAATCATTATAAATACTTGAAATTTTCATCAAATGTTTATATTAGCCGTATCTATTTACGATTACATTTTCAAAATATTTTGATTTTTTAAGATATTTATAGACAATTGAAATTTTTGAAGTTTTTTTGTGCCTATAAAAAAATTTAGCAATCCAAAAAATCTTTAAAATTTAATAAAAGGTTTATTATAAGTTTTACTTATTGTAGTAAAAAAAATCAAAAATCGTTAGTTACAATTTTTGTTTATAAGCATTTAAAGTTCAAAAGTATTTTCTTCATGTATATTGAATTATGCATGTGCGTATGGACGCTAGAACATTTCTAAGAATTATAGTATTTCTAGCTATAACATAAATATTGTATCGTTTATTTATCATAGTACCAAATACCTTTTTTTTTTAAATTTTCTTTTACTGTATGCTTATAAAAACGAATAAATTAAAACAATTATTTCCCACAAAACATAGACAAGAGAATAAAGAATTCAAATGTGTTTTCAAAATTAAAATCAGGATTTAGTTACCGGATGAATTTTTCTTCCGCTTTTTGGTTCGAATTTGCGAAAAAACGACCAGCTCTCAGCAGGCTTAAATGGTTAGGTAGGTAATAAAATAATAATATATATGTATATATAAAATCTAGATTTTTACATCCGATTGTACAGTTTAAATATATAAAGTCCATATTTATACAATCCAGATTTTAAATTCCATATATATACGGTTCAGATTTATATGCGCTCCCACAGTATTATTTAAGTCTTATAGTACTATACTGTCCAAACTACTGCCTATATTATAATAATATTGGATCATCAAAACGTGAAGTTGTGCAAATTAATATAATGTAAAGATAAAATGTTAATTTTGATTATTATTGTAGTTCCGGGAATTCGATGTATGGTGGCATGATAAACGCGATAACGGATTACACACACTAATGTTCATTTACTACTCACACATTGACACAGCCAAAATATTCATGTGATATAAAATGCCTAAATAGTACTCCTTAAAACATGCTACGCTCCAGCCCTCTTAAATTTCTTTAAATTGTATGCCGCTCTAAAGCAACTCATGACTTGATTATGTCCTATCGACGGGCCTGTTGCAGTACATGTTAACGGAAGTGAAATGATCTCACTAATTTCATTAATTTCGATAATATTCAACTGAAAACTCGCAGAAATTACGTAAAAAATTTCAGGTTTGTGTCAAGATTAACATTTTACATTCTACCCAATTCTAAAGATGGCTAGGAGATAAAAAAAAAAAACAGTTTGACAATCCTATTTTTCAGTTTTTCAGATGTCTCAATCTTGTTTTAGCACTCTTGGTGGCCAACAACTGTGCTGAAATAGTTTTTTCCATGTTTCTAAAAATTACTTATCGTGCCAAATGTGAGTTTTGACTCTGAGATCCTCAATAATCGAGAAATTAATAATTAATAATTCGTAATTATTATGAATACAGTAAATCGGCAGTAGTAGAGATAGTGGCTTATCTCAATTATTCTGAAAGAGAGGAATAACATAAATAACATTATAAAATCTACTATTATAATTATTAATTAGCACATATTTGAAACAGTGATAAAACTTAGCCTGATCTCAGATCATTAAAATTTAGCTCATTATATTTTATTTTTAAAATCATTCGTATCGTGATATATATTTGCATGACATAACAATAAATAAATTCAATAGTATAATTCAAGTTATATAACATCATTTAAAATTGAAAGTATATGGTATGTTTTTTTCTGACCTTTGAATAGTCCTTCGCCGCCTTGAATATTAGGGTAACCAGATATCTCGATTTTTATAAGACATATATTTGACTTTAAAACAATCGTCCTCCTAAATTTCAAAATTCAGTCATCGGTCAGAACAATAAGCTATAGGTACCACCCAGGCCCGGATTAAGGGAGCAAAGGGGGACATGGCCCTCGATCCCATGAAAATGAGGGGCCCATAAAGAAAAATAATGTAGTCTTGTATTCCACATAATTGGTAGAATAAATTTAAAATTCAAAGTTTTATATATTTTTTGTTTAAATTTTTTTTTTGTCGCCTGTATAGTCTAACTAGTGATGGTAAGAAATAGCAGTAGTAGTTATAATAGCACTGCTATTTTACAATAGCAATCGCAGACTGCTATTCAATGTCAACAATAGCAGTGATTGCTAAATTTTGAATTTTGGTTTTTATGTTTTCCTAGTTTCCTTTACTGTTTTATAGCTGCTATTATATTAATAGCACTTAATATAATATGAAAAATAGAAATAGCAACTATATCAGTAGCATCTTGGCGGCAGTGGTGGATTAGGGGGCAGGCTAAAAGGCTTATAGCCTAGGGTGGCTTTTTTTTTTTTTTTTATAGAATTAAGTGTTATTATTGATTTATTAGGTATATTTATTTTAATATATTTTTTTTTATATTTTTCATATAAACACGAATAAAAATATTTTTAAAAGTTATAATAATATATTAATATGTATATTGTATGATGCGTACCTATAGGCTATAGTAAGAATATTACAATTATTATTACAATTTGAAAATATTTCATTTGTAATGAAATAATTACAATAAGTTACTTGTTGTTATTAATAACTTATTAGTACATATGTACTTATTGGGAACATCCGACTATCCGAATATAGGTATTTTCATATCTGGCTATTTATATTTCCATCATGTGACTGTATAAGCATTGTTTATTTGTACTTGTAATAATGATATCTGAAGTAAAATAATAAACATGAAATATTTTATTTTTAGAAGTTTTCTATTTTAAAGATTTAATATTTAAGAGTTTTTTTTTGATAAAAAAACTGAATAAAATTTGAAGAGAAGGGTTTAGATCAAATATTGTTGGTTCCTTAATTGAGTGATAGGGGGGGGGAGTAGAGTGATTAAGCCTAGGGGCGCCAAAACGCTAAATCCGCCACTGCTTGGCAAGACGTAAATAACAGATATAATAAGTTTATTCTATATATCTGTGACATGTGATAATTGATAATGCGCGTGTTATCGACGCTTATCTTATGCTCAGATATTGGATATCAATATATATTTATATAATGATCTAATAGAATGCTATTTGGTATAATTTACATAAGCTGCTATTAAAATACCAAATTTAAAATTAATGATAAGCATAATATAATATATTATCAGCTGTTATTACAAAATAGCAATAGCTGCCATTTATCACTGCTATTTTAAAACAGCATTAGCATTATCAGATGTTACAAAAAAAAAAATGACAGTTTACCATCACTAAATCTAACTATCAAACTTTGACTTTGGTTATTTATGATTATGATGTTTTGTATTTCATGTTATTATAATATTTTATATTTTATAGAATAGAAAAAGTTATTACATTCTTTAAATAAACCTGGTATCTCAAAAAAATTACAGTATATAAATGAACGCCATCTATACGCAATACATAACAACTTCATTAATCTACTTCTACACACTTTGTGAAATGCACATCATGAAGATTAGAGTAGATTAGTCTTCATGATGCACATTCTGTTTTATGATTAAGCTATGGTTACTATGGTTGCGAATTCTGACGAGTACACTCAAAATCCTTGTCAGAACACATTTTCGTCAGAATTCGCATCTATAGTAACCATAGCCTTAGACAGCCGAACTGTCAATGATTTCGGTATATTGATAACAAAGGATTGTGTATAATTTTTTTTTTTCATTTTATGGTTACACTGATCGTAGTTTAGCTCAAATTACTGTACTTCCATAAGAGCTAATGTAATTTTTTATCAATGTCCATTCTGGTTTAAACTATTCTGTGAGGTACTTAATTCATATTGTGAAATCGACTGTCAAAAATCATTGTTGCAGCTATTTCGTACCATTAAAAGAAAAGTGTCGCTATTAGTTTTTAATATTAATAATTTATTAACTCGAAGAATTATAATATTGTTATCTCACTAATAATACTTTTTATTGTTAATCACATTTTGGTTTTTTGTTACATTAAAACTAAATCAGATATTTTCTGCGTTTTTATTCATTAAACCATTTATATTAGTGTTTAATATGTCTGATGATGAAGAGAGACGTTTCGAAAATGAACAACGCTTATTGAGTGGAGATTTTAAATCTGTACCACATACAGCAAGTGTTTGGGAAGAAGATATATGTGATGTCGATGAAGACTCAAATCCTCGTAGTAAAAATATAAATTTATTTAAATTAACAGGTTAACCGCTATGTGTATTGTTTTTGATACACTGTTCATTTGCCATTCAAGCTAACACGAAAAATCACATATGTGTGAATGAGGCCAATTAAAAATTTGTTTACCTGGTAGACTCTGAAATATTTTATTGTATTTAAATCATATTTATATATAAACAATACAGTACCTATGGAACTTTTTGGTAAGGACTCCAGTGTATCAATTATGGTATATTGACACTTATTGGCTAAAATATAGTGTATCAAAAATGGTTCATGTAGCTCCCCAAGTAATACCCAAAAATAATGTAGCTTGTAACCTCTTAGAGTTTTAAAATACAACTTCGTAAATTCAAAATATTCTCCTATTAGGCCTGGCAAGACACAATTATATTTATAAAGTTTAAATTTATTTATTTATTCAAGTTTTTTAAAGGAATATAAAGGCATAGTAAGATAACTTTTAAACTTAATATTTTATGTAGTTCTCTAATTTCATCAGTTGTTTATGAATACTTATGATAAAAGCTTGAATATTAAAACATTAAAACCTATGCAAATGCCTTAAAATTTAAAAGTATATCTAACACATTTTACTATAAATTCTTTTTATTTTTAATTATTTCCTAATTATCTTATTACTTAAATAGTTCTATAACATTTTTGAAGTTAGTAAAATTACTTTTGATTAAGAAAGTTAGTTTTAATTTTAAAGGCAATTTAAAAATGTTATGTTGAGTTTTTTTTTTATCGTAATAGTGATACCAGTATTATAGAATAATAATAAGCTGATTTTTTCTTGGTAAAAAAATATATTATAAATGACCAATAAACCAAAAAAATTTAATGTTATGAAAATTAAATCTATAATATAAAAATAATAAATAATAGAAGAACGGTATATTTTTTAAATACATTTTAATCTGGAAAAGCATGTTTGATACTTTATATAGATGCATTAGTCATCAGTATCCAGAACTTATAACCTTTTGAAAGTATTCTTTTTAAATTTGGACTTTACTATAGTAAAGAATGTCTTATAATTCATTTGATCCTTAATTCTCCTAACTTCTCCATAAGAGAACTTATTATCTATCCTGTTTTAAAAGGAAATATACCAGTCAGTGATCAGTTTTTGCCCAACCATGTATATCATTCTCCAATAAATTATCCAGACCAAAAAGAAAAAAACTATATATAATCAGTCATGTTTCAAAATTAACTTAGCATTACTGTTACACATTAATAATCAAGTGGAAAATAGGAGTCCTTGCATATTGTACCCGTCATTCAATATAAGCTGACTAGTTATGTTATCTTTTGAAACAAAGTATATTTATTTATTTTAGTATTAAAATGTATATGTATTTATTGTTGAAACTAAAAAGAAATATTTAATTTTAAAATCCATTTAATGTTTGATCATTTTTATAAGTATAACTTATATATTTTACAAACTTAACTGTTTAATTTTTAATATATTAAGTAATAAAATAATACATTTAAATTAACACTTATAAATCCTTCTTTATTGAATACATCAAAGATAATAATACTAGTAATTAATTAAATAATTAATATATTTATTAATTAGCTAGCCCAGAAAGGGAAATTTTGTGGGCTGCTGAACAAGGTAAATTGGATGTAGTCAAATCATTGGTTTCAAAAAATAGTCATTTAGTCAATATTCATGATAAAGATGGTTATACAGCATTACATAGAGCATGTTACAACAACCATTTATCAATTGTTAAGGTTAGCACAAAATAAATTCATTTATATTATTAATATTTTGTCTGAAATTTAATTATCTTAAAATATACAGTTTTTATTAGAAAATTATGCGAATCCAAATGCCTTGACCGCTGACCAATGGACTCCATTGCATTCAGCATGCAAATGGAACAATGTAGAATGTGCTGAAAAACTAATAGAAGCTGGGGCAGATATAAATGCTTTAACTAAAGGAGGTACATATTCATTTTAATTATCACAAGTTTATTCATATACATACACATATATATATACGAGCAAAGTGCACCATACTTGGGCATTGTATACAGTGCCCAATTAGATTTGGGTACTGTAGGTTAAATATTTAAAATATTAATTTTAACAAAGTTAAAAAAAACTTGAAATATACACCTTGAATATTAATATTATTATTTAGAAGTATTTTTTGAGATGAATTAAGTGAATACTATTAAATTACAGTTATTTTAATTAATTATTGATAAAAGTAATGTTTGCACACAGAATTATATCATATTGTATTTATTATTTCATACACCTCTATAATGACACTTTTAATTACAAAGTCGACCAGATTTTTCACATTTTCACCAGTTAGTCTTACATAATGCAATGCCAGTACATTGGCAACCCAAGTTAGCAAATTTAAATTATTTTTTTTTTTTTTTTATTAAGAGTATCATAAATTAATGTTAATGTAATTAATTTATTAATATACCTAATATTAGTTCCTAAATCTGTTGTGATAATGTCAATGAACATAAGTAGGGCCCGGATTTAAATGCACTTTAAACCATACAAAAATGCTCTAAAAAATAGCCGAAAATGTCCTTAAAAAATGCATTTTACCACAAAAATTATCTTAAAAATGAAATATTTTTTTTTTTGTTTTGGGCATTATTTAACACACTATTTAGAACATTAAAATCACATTCACACGTAATACGAGCAAAGTCTGCCACGTAATACGAACTAAAGTTGATTTGTTATTTGACCTAATACTGGTGACGTTCCATAATCAATAATAAATTAAGGTAAGACAAAAACTGAATAGAAAAATAAAGATAGACAATGTGTATGGAAAAACCTGATAAATCTACCTTAATATCAAGAAAATAAATTTTCTTTTGATTTTATTTTGAATAGGCTTAATTGTTTAGTAAATCGAACAAATATGCATTAAAAACCATCAAAATGACCCAATAATACTAAAAATGCTCTAAAAACGAAAAAATGTCGAAATATGTAAAAAAAATGCAAAATAAAATTTTTAGTTTTGAAGCCCTCGTTTTATAAAACGAATTATGTTCTTAGAGAGCATTGTGTATGATTAACCAAAAAGATATGCACTTTGCATTGAAATCCGAGCCCTTAACAAAAGTTATTTATAATAATATGGCGTATTATGTTATCGCGTGCGGCGTGCGGTGGCATGCCTTATACACAAAAATAGCATTGATTTTAGAATATCTAAAAGGTTCATGAGGATCTATCTCTTATATTTTCCGTAGATAGGCCTCTTAAAGGGGCGTCTATTTTTTTTTTTTTTTTTGCGTCGGGGCGCAAAATGTCTAAATACGGCACTGTACGTATAACAGCATCGTAACGCGTCGGCATACGTTTCTAGTGAAAAGGACACATGCGCTGTAAAAACCAGTTTTCGTCCAAGTGACTGGGCACTTTTATTCTGAATAGACTAAAGTACCTCAATAATTGAGGTAAATTATTTACCTCTTTATTTTTCTACATTTAATTTATTCATCATATTATGTTATGCATTCTACGTCGGATGAGCTCCCTAATATTGTATAGTGCCTGGGCATTATATCACAATGTCCGGATTTTTATTTTGCCCGTAACATATATTAATATACAGGCCCGGCTCAAGGGGTAGGCGACATAGGTCACGCCTAGGGCGGCATTTTTCCTGGACAATTATTATGTATAAAAAAAAATATTTGATAAAATATTTATATGTAAGGGGCGCAAAAACTAAATCTCGTCTATGGTTAAAGAGTAGAACTAGAGCCAGTCCTGTAAATATAAAATTAATTGTTTATATCAGTGGTCTCAAACACGTGGACCGATTTTTTTTTGTTTTATAAAATATTTTATATTTTGATATAATCTGATACAAAATAAGAGATGCTCGGAAATAAAAATTTATTTATTTATTATTATTATTAAAAAAAAAATTAATACTCAGTTCAATGTCCATTTTTGTCGTAATTATAATCAATAAAAGAAATACATTTTGTTTATTTTAGATTTAATATTAAAACGAGTAAAAAAAAAAAGGTGTTTTGCCCATGAACCTTTGGTATAAATATATATAGCCTGTTGGTAATTTGAGTTTGAGATCACTGGTTTATATAATATAGTATGTATTAAAATTACATTAAATTTCATTGTTTCTGTTTAGGTATAACTCCTTTACATTTAGCAGCTGAACATAAAAACTCATGTGATATAATTGAGTTACTATTAACTCAACCCAATATACGGTATGATGTAAAACTACCAAATAGTACAGAAGATACAGCAGAAGTTATTGCTGGTCGAAGTGGTAGTTATGATAGATTATTTGAATACTGTCAGCCATGTTTCAACTATATATAAATTTATAAACATTTATTCAGACCACAGATAAATACAAGGCCCACATGATGTAATTAATACTTTTTTAGAAGGATGTGTACAAATTGAATTTACAGATTGTGTGAATGAACCCTTATTATTATGCTTCAATTTTTCTATAAGTTTTGCACTCACAAAATCCCAACACCATAGATTTCCACATGTTGATCCACTTATTATTGTACTGTCATTATGAAATACACAATTTTCTATGAAATAATCACCAACTGTATGACCTGTGTACCTGTAATACATTTTGTAAATATATATAAAAATATTATGTAATGACTTTTTTTAAACTTAATAAAACTTTAAATAATATTTTATACTCATTCAACAATTCTCCTTTTTGTTTATCCATTAGCTTCAAAGTACTATCTGTACAACTTACTAATGTACACATATTGTCTTGTGTTGAGCTGATACATGATATTGGCTCTATAAATATTAACTCATGAATACACATTTTTAATGTTTCATAATAAAAATATACAGTTAATTACTTCCAATAAAATCAGCATCTAAATTACCCATTCTTATATCATAAATTCTTAAAAAACAATCTAAGGAACCTGTTAAAATTTGATGACCAATTACTAAAACATTGGTAATGCTGTCTTTAGCTTCTTTTAAAACCTGCAAAATATTTTATGTACAATAATTTAACATAATATGGTACATTATAAACTTTTTACTTATATGATAGTTTAATACGGGAAATGTAAATTCTCCTAAAAAATTAAATAGTAAATTGCCCTAATAGTAAACCCCTAAAAACATTTTGCTACTGTATTACATAAACGTAAACTCCCCTAAAAACATTTTGCTACCATATAACACAATATTTTAGGGGAATTTACATGTGCCCTTTAATACTCATGTAGCTTAATGTTGTTTAACTATTAATTATTCCTAAAGATTGATTAATTTATAGTTTACTTAATTAGTTATAAGTAATTTAATTTTTATTTTATGTGAATATTTTATATTTAAATTATTGTTAATGTCATAATGAAACAGATTAAATCAGAATTAGAACTAAGCAATTATTTTTTTTTTTTTTAGGTTAGTTTTAAAAATAATTTTGTAAGTATAATAGTTATAACTATTTTAAATGTCGACTAATATTATATAAACATTGTATTATAGTGTATAGAGGTAGAACCTATTATATAATATATAAAAATTAAAAAAAAAAGGTGAAAATCCAAAGTTTAATGATACAAAAATAATAAATTATTGTACCTGGATTGGACTATTGTTACGACTTCTAGTATCCCAACAACAAACAGTGTTATCATTTGATCCAGACACCACAACTGAAGAATCTTCATTGTACCTGACACAATTCACTGTAGCAGCATGTTGTCGTAATCTTCTCTTAACTCTTCCATCAGATACATCCCATATAACAACAGATTTATCAGCTCCACATGACACCAACTCGCTTGAAAAATCATTATATTATTTCTTTTTGTTTGATGAAAAACTGTTATTGTAGTATACAATGAAATTAAAGTACCTGCTATCGCATGAACCACAAGTATCCATTACACAATCGCCATGGCCTGCATATGTTTTCAAACATAATTCCTTATACGGGTTCCATAGTTTTATTTTCTTATCACTACCGCATGTTAAACAATATTCACCGTCCACTAGACAAAAATCAGTTTACAGTCAATGTGTGCGAATGAGTTGAAAATAATATTTTACCATTAAATCGAACAGCGCGTATGGCTCCTTGCTCACAGTTAATGGTGGCCACGCATTTTAAATCCATTTTATAGCAATTTAGTTACATACAACGTACCTACCAAATAAAAACAATGATAGTAAATTAAATGTAAAATATATTCAAAATTATTTTCAACTGACATAATGTGTACAGTCTACAACAACAGTCAATCCGTGATTCATGATAATTTTTATCATTTATTTTATCATGCCGTGATTAACAACTCTGTACATAACACCATAAAATATATTCATTGATAATAAAATAATTCTTTCATTATCTAAGGATATATTGTTTTTTATACGGCCTTAGAGTTTTTATATAAAAACTCTAAGGCTGTATGTCTGTGGATAATACTATTTCTATTATTATTCTGTATTTTTATAACGAATTAAGATTTTAATTCGTGGCTGAACATAATGAAAGTCGAACTAGAATTGTATTGAAAATTCACGTGTTTAATATAAGTAGGGACGTTGTGATACTATCGATACCAATAAAGTATCGATACTTTTCTTTCGATACAAGTACTTTTTGTATCGATACCATGGTTTCGATATTTTACTCATATTGATAAAAAAATACTGGTATCGAATGAATAGTATTGAATCATTTACTAACTGCCATATTGGTTCAAAAATCAAAAGTACTTGAATGGGCGAATGGTATCGAACAATAATTATTTTCTCTAGTCTATTCAGAATAAGAGTGCCTAGTCACTTAGACGAAAACTGGTTTTTACTGCGCATGTGTCTCACGAGCGAATCAAAACCACCTTAATATATGCACATTATTATCAATTCAATTTCGGTTGATGCTCTTATCATTTTACTATATTATCTATATTACTGTATTGTATACAAAAAAATAATTATTACTGTTTTGTTACCGTTTAGTTCTATTTTATATAATTATTAACTCTATTGTGTAATATGAATAAAAAAACAAAACAAAATAGCGAAAACTGTTGCCATAAATGTATCAAAAATAAATATTAGCTTTCATAAACATAGAATTATACTATTAATTTGATCATTTGATTTATTATTTAATATCAAAATTTGATTTACTTATGAACTCAGGTAAATACATTAAATATATTTAGAAAAAGTATTATTTATCTAGGCATTTGAATAATTAGTACATATTTTTCAGAACATTGACTTTCAAGCCCAAGTGGTAATTGAAATGTGTTTTTACATTGTACAATTTTTTCGTGAACCCCTCATGTAAACTAATATTTAGTAGTAGATATCAGTATTTTCATGAAGAAATAAACATAAAACAAGTAAATTTCAAAGTACCTATCTAAATCTTGTTATTTTTGTCATTAGAATTAATTAGATACAAAATGTTAGTGTAACTTGTATTCACTTACAACAAATCAAGGAACTGGTACATCACTAGTGCCACCACCATTGTATAATACAGATATATATTATATACAACATTTTATAATAATATATTATAATGTCTGTAATATTATTTATTATTCATATAATCTGTGGTTATATCACACAACAATAATAATTATTTTTTGTACATAATAGAAATGTGTCGTTCATGAATGAACTAGTTCAATTGAACTATTCACCCAAGTGACCAGTTTCATACTAGTTCACTTTTTATGAACGATTCGTCGATACGGAGTAATAATTATTGAACTAGTTCGTTCATGAACAATTCTTTGATACGGAGAACGTATTCATACGAACAAATCGTCAAATATATGAACGATGAACGACTGAACTAGTTCACCTTAATGAACAATAAGTCCCATCTCTAGTACATAATACACATAATATAGTTAATATAGTAAGAGCATCAACCGAAAATGTTATATGTTATAGTGATGAAGGAGAATTGATAATAATGTGCATGGATCAGGGTGGTTTTGATCCGCTCGTAGTAGTAGTATTAGGGGCTTCTGAGTCCATTTTTTTTTTCAAACATTATATTCGTTGGTTTTGAGTTAATTTTTTCAAGATTATTTTTTAGTTTTTAAAATATATCAAGGAGGTTTCTTGGTTCATTTTTAAAATAAAACAATTTATTCTGTAAAAATTTTTCTATATTTATTTTTTCAAATATAAAAAATATAAATATATTTTATAATAAACATGTAAAGTACATAAAAAATCCTATACAAGTTTTCTTATCTCTCTAGTTAATGGTACATATTCAATAATACGATCATGAATTAAAATACAATAAGCAGTCACACCAGTAAGGTTTTCTGAAGCATCAATTTCGATACTAACATCAATAGTAGAAGCTATACTTTCATCATTTTGCTTTGATGCGTCTACAACAACAATTGGTGCAGTTGATTTAAATGCTGAAGGACTTAATATTGGATTTCGTTCTCCTTTTTCATAATAAGATTCTTGAAACGATGTATACATGTATACATGTATACAAATCTTGAATTAATTAAAATTTTTTTAAAATCTTCAAAAAACCCTAACCAATATTTTAAAGGAACGCAGGCGGTAAATTGACCATCATTATCTGTTATTATTGTATTATTTTTAAATGTCCAGCCTGCATTTTCATAACAATAATAATTATCCGGCGTACTTGATACATATCCTTTTAGTGAACTAGTAACTCCTAGATTGCGAGTTCTGTCTACTTCGATGCCATTGATTTCTAATCGTGCTTGATCAAAAAAAAAAGATAAACCATTATTACATAGTTTAATTTTTTCTGCTTCTTTAATTATTCCTTCTAGATAAAGATAACTTTCATGAAGATATGGATATACGTCTGTTTGTTGAACTGTTATTCTAATTTCATCGTTGTTCCC